TTGTACAACTGGAGCTTAAAATGAAGAACAATTAAAGAAACAATTAGTCGAGTTGGTAAATTATACTCTAAAACGGTCTGTAAATATGAAACGAATAGCAATAATCTTAAAGTTTTTTTTTTTTTTTTGAGAAGTTTAATTTCTCTCAAAATAATATCAAGGACCTATGTCTTTTTACACAATAATGATATTTATAGCATTATTTTTGTATTAATAGCATTAATGTTGTTGAGTTATAGATTTTACATATCTCTTTTGTAATTTTATAATTTCATATCTAATTAATGGTAAATTTATTAAAAGAGAAATTATAAAACTTATAAAATTAAATTATAAATTTACTTGAATACTAATTTCGTCTCATTAATAAGTTCATAAGAAGATGCATTAATGCTAGAATTATAGAGTTTGCTTTCAGATGATCTTTTTAAAAATAGTGCATTGATTAATTTAAATTTGGTCGATATATTTCTTCCTAATATTTAATTAGGAAATTTTATTTTTATTTTGAAAAATACACTTTTTTATTCGAGAAATCTAATGTAGATTTAACATAGATAATATGAAATTCTGTTTTTCTTGCATAAAAAATTTCATATTATATATATATATATATATATAACAAATATAAATAAATATCCTTAAAGTTATAAGAAATTCAATTTTGAATGAAAAATGGAAATAGAATATCCTAGAAAATTTATATATATTTTAAATTTTTATGTTTATTCAATCTTTAAAATCTTTTAATTATCCCACTTACTTCAAAAAATCAAAGAGGATAATGTTTTATTTATAAACTTTTGATACAAACGTTATATATATAAATGTACCTTCGAAGCGTTAAAACTCTTCAACGAAAAATTATCTCGAATACACGACGAAAACCGTTTGGAGATAATTAAACGAAGCTTACTGATGTCTGTTCGAAAAAAATTTAAAGAAAACTTCTTATTCGACGCAAATATTTGAAAACGCGGTGAAAAAGAAGTCAAATATCCTTGAGATTCACTCCCTTCTATCCTCCTCTCGTTCGTTTATTTACGTTTAAAAACACCATTTTTATCTTATCACGTGACTAAATTTTACCTTACAATATTCCACCATCCTCTCTTCTCACGACTCGTAAAAATATATGACAATAATATTATTTCGATGAATAATAAGGGAAGAAAAAGAGGGCGCGAAGAGAGAGGTAAAGCTCGAGAGAGAATTAAAAAGAGGCGTGGAAAATGTGCAATGCGTGCAGAGAGAGAGAGAGAGAGAGAGAAGAGAGAGAGAAAAAATTAATTCTCGAACGATTAGAACGAAAGACGAGGTCGGTAAGGAAGGAAATCTCGAATTTCTCGGCATTCCGCGCATAAATAGGTTAAGTATGCGTTCGTAAAGGGGGATGAAGGAAACGGATGGAGCGGGATGGTAGGGTTGTAAGTAGTAAAGTACGGCTTGTGTCTGCCGAGCCGTGCCACCCGGTGCAACGTCGTGACGAGAATGCGTGCTCCGCGAGAACGATTTCTATCCCCGCCATTCGCCATTTCGCGATTCACTGTTTACCATTCGCCGCTTGCATCCACCACGCCCTACCTCCTTACCTACTCTACACCTTTCCTCGAATAAGAAAATTCGAAGACTCGAACTTTCGAAAACAGATCGAAATTCTACATCCTCCTTCTCGCTTTATTATTATCCTACTATCAGACCTTGTGAAGACCTTCACGCGATAAACCTGTGTATAAACCTTCTTACTCCTTACGTGAGATCGAGTCACGAGCAAGGAACGAGAAAGAGAGAGATAGACAGACAAACAGACAGACAGATCGGAGGACGTCAGAAGGCGGAAACGTTTGAACGTTTCGAGTCCGTGTCGATTCGGGGATATCCTCTGTCGGGTATATATCAGAGTTCGGAGAGGATCGTTACCAAAACCTTGTCGTATACCCATCGACTCGTATACACCGGCCCTGTTTCGAGCCTTGATGCCGTATCGATTCGAGGAGGCATAGAGACGGTGGAACAGAGAAAAAGGGAGGAGGAGGAAGGGGGAAGCGAGCGAGCGAGGCGGCGGTGAGCCGATGAGCGATGGGGAGGGGGAGGGACGGAGTAGGCAGAGTGAGGGGGGGAAGGATAGGCGGAGGAAAAGGAAATAGGCAGAGAGGAAAGAATGGGGCGAGCTAGCCGAGGAAGGAAAAGGAAAATGAGCGGAGGGAGGGGAGAAGAGCGAGAAAGTAGTAGTAGTATTCTCCTCGCACGACAAAAGTAAGTACGGGCCTTCGTTACCCTTATCGGACACCGGAACCAGTATCGACAGGCCTGGGGTCATTCCGATCGAAGAATCGCGGAGTCGTGGCCTCGAGTACGTTCCAAGAAAAATCGGAATTAGGGAATGGTGGCCGGGTGAAGGTTCGACTTATGGTCGAGGAACGAAGATCGAGCAGAAGTTGCATTCGCTCGTTCTTGGATGGAAAATAGAAGAAAATAGGGGAAAAAGAGAGGGAGAGAGGAAGAGAAAGGAGGATATAAAGTTGTTAGAAGGCTTGTTTTCTCGCGACGATGCATTGAATAATCGATTCGAAGATATTCTCTCGCCTCTCCCCTCCTTTTTTTCTTTCTTTCTTTCTTTCCTTTCTTCCTTCCTTTATTTTTCCTCGCGATTTATTACTCACGTGAATAGCGAACGTCGCGCGAAAGAAAGAGACGTTGAAAGGAGGCTTTTTTTTTATTTATAGCCAAGTTGATGGGACGAATGCGCTCTTTAAATTCGCATTTCCGCGGTAAACGGAGAGGAACGAGGATCACGCAGGGAAGGGAAGCCATCCGTGTAGAGGCGTTAATTCGAGCGTAACGCCGAGTCTCAAGACCTCGGCGTTCACCGACATCGAGTTTCGTCAACTTTCAACTTATTCCCGTTATTTCGCGCTCAGTTTATTTTTCTAAAGGATTCTAATTTTTTTTTTCTTTTTAAAAATCGATTCTTTTTTTTTTTTTTAGTTCTTGTTCACTTATGCACTTCATTGGGGAGGGGAAGAGAAGAGAATCGATGAAATTGAATTCTGGGAATAATCACCGGGGACTTCCGCGAAAAGGTAAATTCGTTAACTTTTGCATCGTTGTATTTGCTTATCTCCCCCCCCCCTCCCCTATAGATAGGAAAATTGCGAATCGAGGTAACGTTGTTTCTAGTCAAATGACGTTACACACGCGACAATTTTATTTGGACAATTTTTAGACCATCCTTCGTTATTTGAATGATGTTCCACGACGTATTACGTAATTTGTCGTCGCGAATTTTCTCGATTTTCACGAATCGATCGGCTCGAGGCAAAAATTTTTATCTTATCGACAAATGTTGTTGTTTTTTCGTATAAACGAATACAAGATAAATTATAATGGATCATATATTCATCCTTCGAAATCCCCGCGCAAGATGTTGCGTAGCCAAGAACTTTCTTGGCTGGCTGTACGTCTGGAAACTGGAACGAAATTATTTATCGAAACGCAATCTTTTTCTGAGGCGAAAAAACTCCTCTTCCTTCCCCGCCAAGATTTATGCAACTCGTTTAATTTGAAATAATTCGAAAAACAAGATTTACACTCCTCGATATAAGATTCTATCTTCGTAGACGTCAACAGGGTAATTTTTTATTAGCCCGTTTTATAAGTAAATTCGTTACTTAAATTGGGAAAGGGAAAGAATATGAATAAGCATTCTTTTCGATCGTTTCTCTTTCCCCCCTGTTTATTATTACGTATTTCCTCGAAAAAAAAGTTATTCACCTCTTTCGCCAGAAATTCCACGAATGCTACTAAACGTTATCACAGCAGAGAGAGAGAGAGAGAGAAAAGCAAAACTTTTACAATTCAGTATCGGCCATTTTCTCGGGTGAAATCGGTGCAATGTTAGCAAGGAACCTGCTTTCAACCGAGGAGGAGAGCCGAGTTGTTACGAGGTTGCTTTTACAACTCTCTTGGGGCTTGGGAAAGAATCATGGTTTCGTAAACAGTGCGGCCCATTTCACCACATTTTGTATCGGATTAAACGCGCTTATATTCTGAATTCTATCGATCCCTCGTATTTTCTCGCTCCTCGACTTTATGATGAATTGGAGAGACGCAACAAGCCGATTTCGATCGATCGACACACAGTTTATCATTATAGCAGGGCCCACAACCCCGTTTCGTATTAATTACAATGTAATTAATTTCGTTATAACGCAATTGATCCGCGTCAAGCATCAACCTTGTTATCTCGAGCGGGATAATTGAAACGAAAGAAGAATTCCCTTTCGTTCAAGTGGCCCTCTGCACGCGATAATTATAATTAAGAGTATCGTGATCTAGATTGACGTGGTTTCACACACGATGGAATTCTTTTCCTTTTTTTCTCTCGATTCGGTGATATTTCTTTTGTACAAAATACGCAAAGTTACTTATTGTGCCGATTCATTTATCTATGATTAAGCGAATATTCGACAAGTATTCGACGTTTTCTATCTAAAACATCTGGTTATACAGAGTTTGTTATTATTTTATTCGTTATTGCATCTTATAAAAAGAAACAGCGAAGAAGCTGTGAAATATTATATCGCTACGATAATTTTTTCCTTCTTTTCCCTCCATTTTAATTCCGTTTATTTGTCTTTTTTTGACTCAAGCGTTTTTAATTATTCTCGTACTCCTTACGTTTTTAGCTTTTAATTTATTCACGAGATTCTATTCCAAGTAAAAAGTAAATCTATAGTTTTTTAATCTTTTAGAACTACTGGTCTAAATATCTTAATTATGATTGAAGTGATATTATGAAAATTATGAAAACAAAAATATACGTGCAATTACATATCCATCTCAATAAGATAGAATATTAATTTTGCCAAAAACATTTTCAATAATCGTGAAACACAAAATCAAATTTATACATTTAAAAACGTCCCATATTCATCAAATATCGAATTTCCATTCGTTTCTTTGATTTTGGTCTCTTTGAAAAATTTATTACATCAAGAAAAGATATACGTTCTCGCTTTTTCACAAGTTTGGAATCATAAACTTTCTATATAAAAATATATCGTGTACACATGTTTAAAAAATACATCTTCCTAAAAACACTTATAATTATAATTCGTAATGGCTTCGTCCTCCAAAGAAAGAAAGAAAGAAAGAAAGAAAACAACAACACCTTCACCATACACGATTTTAATCCAACACTACGATCATATATATATTCGCAATAATACAACAAACAACAAATAAACTCGATGAAACGGCGTATCTTAAAATCGTTGTTTATCAACGACAGCCACGGGCGAAGGATTAATCGCGATCTAACTTTGGGATCAGAGTCTAGCAGTGGAACGCGATGAAATTGCAGCGACGCATCCTGGTTACGAGAGAACGTGGTGGAGGTCTAAAATAAAAGCTGGAGATTCACGGCGCAGTTGGCACACGCGTCGATTAATACTCGTATTAATAGTCGCGTATCAGGGGCCGGTGTCCGCCTCTCGTGGATACACGATACGAAATATTCGGCCCGGATTTTTCACATTTTGCGGGCAATGCTTCGAACGAGCCGTATTTGTTACGATACACTAGTAGCAAAAAAAATATATATATATATATACACGTGGTCTCTTTCTCTCTCTTGAAATCGTGGTGATTCTACTAAAAACAAATCGAAGTGAAAGAATAACCTTTTTTCCTTTTCGCTTCGTGTTTGCTCAAAGTTTGAAATTAGTTGGTTACTTTTCCGATAGGATGAGACAAATGAGAGTAGAGCAATCTATCGATTACTTTACTTACTTACTTACTTCGTAAAGTAATAAACAATTTTCGAAAATTAATTTTTAAACGAAAAAAAGAAAACTCTCTTGTCGTGTAATATATATATTCGTGTATATAATTGGGAAATAGATAGTTTCGCTTGAAAATGAAACGAAAAAAATGTTATTATTGTTATTATTTTTTCTTTTCTATAACTACTTTATTTTACTAAAATAATACAAAGTCGAGTTTCCTCGAAATTAATTTTTTAAACGAAAAAAAAGAAAAATAATTATTCCACATATTTTTGATTTTATTTTCGCATAATAAAATTATCCGTTATCGATAATTTATTCGTATTGGGAAATACAGACACCCTGTATAAATAAATATCCCACTCGAATAGTTTTCGAACGATACGTAAAAATATTTCAAAAGACAAAAGACGTAAATATTTTACTTTTCTCTAAGAAAACGTACGTACAACGTACAAGGTCAACCTTGTTGATGTAATTTGATATTCTCTCACTCTCTCTCTCTCTCTCTCTCTAAAGCTCGAGATCCAGCAATTGCTTCAACTTAGCGAGACATCCTGTACATAGTTACACAAACACGTGGCTTGATAGAGGTTTACAGGTTTATCGAGGAAATCTTCTCGGCATTATTTGCCGTGTTGTATCGCCGCATATTTCAGCTCGACACGTATCTGCAACGTTCAATCTCTTCGCTATTTTATTTCCTTACCGTTAGGCGGGCAAAATTGCGAGACGGATCCTCGGTTATTTCGTCGAAATTCGCGCGAAGTGTAATTAAAACCGCGGGGTGGCGCGCGGATCAGGCCGTCAGAGAGGAGTCCAACTATCGGAAATTTTTCCCATTCATTTCTCCTCGTCGTTCCATATAAAAATATTCACCGCGATCGATGTGATGTTTTTCGACCCGGTATCGTTCGGTATTTTACTTTTTAACAAGTAAAATGCGTTAAAACGCGTGAGAAAACGTGTGTGTGTATATATATATATATATCGTATAGTATATTCTTATACGAGTAATTAAATGCATTGGTAATTTTACGATAGAACGTACGATTAGCTGAACTAAACTGCGAAAATTAACTAAATGTCGTTAAATTTCATTTAAATTTGAGGTGATCGATTGATATTGGATTTTTAATTTTTTTTTTTTTAAATTGCATGCTTTCCGTTCTGGAGAATTATTAGATTCTTGTTATTAATTTCGTAATTAAGATCAGAAAGCGTAGAAATTTAAATAATGTAGAAAATTCGTAATGTCGCTTGTTCCATCGAAAAATATAAATTTATACATTAATTTTTTTTTTCTTTGCATCGAAACGAATAAATAAATTTTATCCATAAAAGTAATATTTTAATTTATTTTCGTTTACTTACGTAATACATAATCTCGATCTGCGAATCAGTTTATTATTTAAAATAAATTTTAAGTTTATATTTTTATAGTAAAATTAAACATTATACCATTACAGTTTACGTTATCATGATATTTATTAATACTTGTGAATAATTATTATATTTTTATTATATTTATCGATATCATTAAAATATTTTTTTCTCTGTTAAATAAATGATACATCAAAACAAATCAATCAAATTGTGTTACTACTTTAAATAAATGACGAATTTTGATCAAAATATCGATCAAATTGATATAACAATTTTTAACGAATACAATAAATATACTTAAGCCTTAAATTCGAAAATATTTTGCTAAACTTTTGTTGAAAATAGCATAACAATTAAAAACAAAAATTAATCAATGAAGAAACTGAATCAAATGAGTTTGGAAAAATCTATCAGATAATTTTTAAGTTACCAGTTTACATTATCCAGAAAAAATTAAAATTAGCTTATATTTAAATTTATATCTAAATTTAATAGAAAAATATAAAAATTTCAATCGCACGAAACATTATAAAATTACAGATCTCTCCTCCCCCGTCGAAAATTGCGTCAAAATTTTTCAAGCAAGCTTCGATCGCTTATAGTTGTCATAAAAATGCTATCGTTTCAGGATATCGTTAGATTTGCGAAGGCTGAGCCGATTTTGAAGGATTACGTATCCGCGTATCCTCCAATATTCACGATAATGGCCGCGTCACGTTGAAACGTTGCCGATATTCACCGTTCTATATCCACATCTATATCGGCGCAAATCGAGTGTATTATATAAAATAGAATGAAAAAAAAAAAAATATACTACGAACCGAAACAGTAATATCGAATATTCATCGCTTTATTTTAAACACCTTATATATTTAACCTTCCTCAGCTGTCTGGCCACGTGTTACTTCGATTAATATAATACTCGAAATCGTTGCTCCATCCTCCTCGAAAGTTATTATTAAAGCCAAATAAACGTTAAGGGAACGGTACGTTTCCTTACTGTTCCGTTAATTTTGATTGGCCCCGGTACAAATTTTAGATCGGACACAAACTGACTTTTCTACGATGGTCTGGCGACGACGGCGACCTCTGCCGTTGCATCGTATTCGTTTGTTTCCCAATTCGAAAGACAAAGAAGGATATATATATATATACGATCGCTCGATTCCAACAGTTTCCAATGATCTCATTGTGAATTACTATGGTTTCAAACAGTTGAAGTTGGCGGAAAACAAGATGAATTTCTTTTTTGTTGTTTGCTAGATAACAATTTTTTTAAAAAAGTTATCATTAGTCGGAAGAAAGTCAGTCACTTTTTCTAACTTTTTTCTGACTTTGATGAAATTTTAAAAAATTTTAAAGTTCGTTTACGAATTTTTTTATAGAAAATCCAAAGATTTTAAATTTAACGTACCTGTTGCTCGTAAAATTTTCATCGATCGATTTCGAATGAAAAAAAAGATCTTCCCAAAAATTATCATAAAAATAGCTTATAATTAATTCATAATAATCATAATAAGATCTTCCTTATTCTCACGAAAATTCCTTATATCTTTAGCTAGATACGATATCGCAATTAACAAAATTATGGACATTTAAGGAGAGCGTCGTAACCTTAACCGACGCACAAAGGAAGAAAAGAGAGGAAAGAGAACGATATACACGCGATGAATAACAGCCGGTTGCGTCTCCGCTTGACATTAGCTAATTCAGAGCGCCACCCACGCTATTCCAGTCGCCGAATTTACACCGCGTGGGCGTCCGTGCACCTGACACTGCGCGTATGCCCCTCTCATGAAATAAATTAGCAGCACACACACACACACACCACAGTCAACCAACAGAGCCGTCTCCTCTTCTCGATTCTCAATGAACCTTCCCTCCGAAAATAGTCACAGTCGGATTAATTTATAATACGATGAGACGAGGCGTTACACAGCCGCCTCTAATTGTCGATAATTGAAGAGCGTTATTGTATCGATAAATGGTAAATTATGACAGCGAATTCGGACTCGGTCCGAATTATCGACCCGAATAAGATAGATAGAGAGTGCATCATCCCTTTTCTCGAAACGAACGCCATTAATCTCCTCGCGAATGATTGATGAGACGTGGAACGTAGAGAGGCTCGCGTGGAATTTTACCAAGTGATCGGGCTCTGTTGTGGCTTATGCACAAAAGGAAACGATCGAGCAAGGTGCTTCGTTTTGGGCGGACGAATTAAAAGAGAAATTTGAAATTTTTTACAAGGCACGAAAGCAAGCGTTGAATTTACAGCTTTATTCTTCTTCCAGTGAAAACTGTTCATTCATTGGATACAGGCAATAAAATTTAAAAAATTCTATTTTACCACTTTGAAGTAGCAATAAAAGGGAAATCTCTATCTCTTTTGGTTTTAAACGAAGGAGAAGCGAGTGTGATGCTATCTCCAATCTGAATTAACAACGATAACATCATATTTCTTGCAACCGGGTCACGCTTATATTCTTCTAACTGTATAACTTTTTCAGATTTACTATTGATAATTGAATAATATGCTTGAAAAAAGAAACAAATTATATCAGAACTTACTCGAAAATAAATGATAATTATTCGGAATATATAATAGAATATTATTTTAAACAACATTTCAAAAATTGGGAAATTTGGAAGCACAATAAAACTCGATCGACACTCTTCCTTGGAATAAAGCAACAAGAAAGAGTTGCCATCGCTGGCCATCGATGAGATCTGTCGGTGGAAAAAAAAAAAGTATATAATATTTTCAAAACATTTGAAAATAAACTCTAAATAATTATTATATATATAACATTATCGAAGCAAATATTTCACCAAATTAAAACTATATAAAATGTAAATTAATTAATTTTCCTCTGCAAAAATTGGAAAAAAAGGAAGAGACTACTCGACTTTCTGCCTATCGACAATATCTATCGCTGAGAAAAAAAAAAAAAAAAACAAAACTATACAATCAGAACACTTGAAAATAATAATTTAAAATATATAATCTAACATTATCGACGCAAACGATTTTAATCAACGATTAAAATTTTCCTCTGCAAAAATCGGATAACAAAACTCGATCGACGCTTTTCCTCGTACGAAACAAAGAGCAACAGAAAGAAACAGTTAATCGCGACTGTCGTCGACGAGGGATCTGTCGGTGGGGGGAGAGAAAGGAAGAAAGAAAGAAAAGAAAAGAAAAAAAAAAAAAGGAACGACGTGCAAAAACTGCGACGCGCAATCCCCCTGAAAAGATTTTTAATCAGAGCCTCCTCGAGAGACCTAGTTTTCACCTAGGCCAACCTAGGCCAAAGTTGCGCCACGTCTTGCCTGACCGTTCTCCAGCCCGACCTGTCTGCCGACAATCGCCCATTGTCGCCCCCTCCGCCATTTTGTTGATATCAAAACGAAGGGGGCGCGAACGCGAGCAATTCTGCCCATTCTGGGGGGTCGTTAATAACAGCCGAGAAATCTCTTTGTGGAGAGATTCGCTGCTGCCTGTCCCGTGATGAAATTGCCTTTGAATCGCGAGACTTGAAACGGAGAAACATCGACACGCTTTTTCAGGAGAAAGGGCTCGAATAACAACGGCCGAGTTGTAAAGATCTATCTCGAGGCGTTGTGCTCGTCGCAGTGTTTGGATAAGATCGGGTAAATGGAAATTGGCAATGGACGAGAGAAGCAATGGTTGAAAGGAATTGTAAGATTTGTCGAAGATTTATGCACGATTATTTCATGCATTTCTTTGCGAATTAATTATGATTTTTCGGTTGTGTAAAGTATGCTTAAGGAGGAGGATGTTCCCCAAACGAGGCATTTTAGGAGTGATTTTATTCCACCAAAGCACGTGCGTTGTAAAAGGTTTGGTTAACTTTCGAAGACGTGTGATGATCGAACAGGACCATCTCCAAGATCTAATCCGAATTTACATGCAACACAAGCGTTTATTTAGCACGTCCTTACACGAGGAAAGGGTTAAGTGATAAAAGAATTCGGTTAAAGTTTTTCGAAATAAAATTCGTTCATAAAAATAATCGCCGATGATGAATATTTTTCAAATATTCGCTCCAAAAATCGGTTCGAGATTAAAAAAATAAGCGATTAAGAAGTTTCGCGGTGAAATAATTTCAAAACGAATTCCTATCTGTTCGATTAAATCGATTAAATCGAGATTAATAGAAATTGAAGACAGATTGGATATAATATTTCGAAGGGAAAATTGGGAGATTCACGCGCGCCAATAACCGTGCTCCAAATGTTATACGCTCGAAGTGTATTTCAGCGTGGTTACACAATGGCCCGTTCGCCCCATTATACGCCCATCTTTTCACGTCTCTCTCGTCCTTTCCAACTACGTACGAGACAACTTTTTAAGAGGTTCTTCTTCGATACAGAAAAGATACGTGGAAAATGAGAATCGCTTCCCTTCCTCGAATCGTTACGTTAAAAAACTCGATCGTTTTTCAGAGACCCGATTTGCTCGAACTGGCAACAACGCGTCGTTTCCCCAAGTTAAACAAATAAATAAATATATGTGTATCAGGGAAATTTTCGAAATTTCGTTTTTATTTTCTTCTTTCATCGGGACTCGACTCCCCACATCAGCGTGAAGGAATAAGAAAATACCAATAGATTTTCCAAGATCGTCCAAGATCTCGTAGAGATTATTTTTTTAATCGACACTCGTGTCACGCGCACACACACACGCACAAACAGCATGCACTACGGATAGATTCAATGCTCCAACGAAGCTTCCAACGGGACACTACTGGGTTCGCTTGTTCCTTGCTGACTGACGCACAGCCGCCTCGGTGCGACAGAAATCTTTATATATTTTTGCTTGCCAACACTGGTGTTGCGATTATCGTAACAGCGCGGTCGAATTTTATTATCGCGACGGGGGCCATGTGTCGGCCATCAGAAACACTCGAGAGCCTTTCTTCTGTAGATATCTACAATCTCTTTTTCAGAAAATTGCATCGCTATAAATAAATAATCGCGATTGAAATTTCTTTTCTATCAAATCGAATTGATAAACAATTGTGGAATATCTATTGGAAATGGAAATTGAATCTTACTAAGTCTGTGAACATCATAAATTTTTACTAGGGAAATTTGTTTGTATCGTAAATTTCTAGGGAAAAGGTGAGGAATGAAAAATGGTGGAAACCGAGGCGTCTGTGCATCCGTTACGCTCTAGTCTCTTGGCAATCTCTAGCCTTAACGAAGCTTTCGAGACTCTTAAGAGGCTTCTAGTAATAATTCGTAAGCGTGACAAGCTGTGGCACAATCACTTACCAGTTCTCCAATATGCCGACGTTCGAGAAGTTTGGCGGAAAGCTCGCGGCCGCCATCGGTGGTCGCGGCTATACCCTCTCTGTCCTGTCACTTCCGGGGCTGTTCACGATTTTGACACGCCGCTGGAACGAGAGAAGATCGGCTCATTAGTCTTCCAAGAATCTCTTTTCAGCTTCTTGAGTGATCTTTAAGAACGTAATTAGAAAAAAAAAAAAAAAAATACCTCCTGAGAAAAATTTAGCATTCAAAGAGGCAGAAAGCTCTCTCTTTCTCTCTCCCTTTTTCAGCATATAATATATTTAATTCCAAACGATTGGGAAAAGACAAGGCCAATCTTTTCTTCAAGATTGAGATAATTAAATACAGTTAAATACTTTTTTTTCTATTTCTATCTTATCTCGTTCGTAATTAATTATCTACCAGTTTGAATTTAATTATATAAAAAAGATCCATGTATTTATAAGATAATAACGCTTATTTAAAATTTTGGGTTTATAAAAGTATTTATAAATGTTTTAAATTATAAAAATTATCCGTATTCAAGAAATGGCGAATGTAATGGGAAACAAACCTAACCTAACTTAATCCAATATATAAATTTCATATATGAGATGAGCAATATTCAAAAGTAAATTAAACTGATGTAAAACGATAATAGCACGGAATATATTAATAAATTATGGAAAAAAAAAAATAGAAGGATAAAACTTTTTATTTAACTTAACCTAACTCGATCCGATATATAGATTACAATACAGATTCGAAAGGAAGATAGAAATTCGAGGTTTAGCTCAAGCAAAAAGATCGGTCCTAACCAAAACTAGAACTAACTAAAACGACCTAAAAAAAAAAAACGTAATTTGACGTAATTTTACACTCGTAAAAATTATCACGCTTCGCGAAGATCGAGAAGAACTGTTATGATAAAACAGTTTCCCGAATTTACCGACCGATCTCGGTAAATAAGAGGAGCTGCTCGTTACGAGAAGGCGAGAAGAAAATTGACGGATACACGGTTGGGATGGGGTTGTCAGCAGCGTACACATACACATTTTCCCCATTTTAACACTCGAAGCGCGTCGTTAACGTTTAGACGCGTATCCCACTATCCACTACAACCGAGGTAGAACCTTCTCTCACCTCTTCCACGCTCTCTTCCTTTCTCGCATTATTATCTCTCTACTTTCGGGCTGGGTCCGCGTCGCGCACCGGTATCGGTAATGAACGATCTATTGTGCCGGTAGGTGCTCTTTCAGACGGCAAAAGAGGCGAGGTAAGGGGACGGGGGAGGGGTGTGTGCAACCGGAGAACGAGAAAGAGAGAGAGAGAAAGAGAGTGAGAGGGGGACGGACGGCATAGAAGAGGTATGAAAACGGCACTCGTTAATGGATTCCTACCAGACTCTTTCACCCGTTTCTCTCCCTTTCCCTCCGTATCGGTTGTTCCTCTCACCCACCCTCCCTCCTTCCTTCCCTCTTTCTTTTCGTTCTCTCTCACCTACTTTCATTTT